ATCCCCCCTCTCCAGCCCATCCCCCCCTCCTTTGTTTGCCCATCTTATCCATGGAAGCCAGAAACCCCAGTGCCAGTCTGGAGTTCTCCACCCCACGTCCCAGATCTTCCTCCAGGCTGCCTTTCCTGCCCCCCTCCCATCTCACAGTCATTGTTCTAACTTGGGCTGTCATTATTGCCCACCCAGGCTTCTAAAGAAGCCTCCTGTGGCCATTTTCCTCCTTGGTACAGCTGTGCTGAAGCTGTAGGAGCCTCTGGGTGGTGCTACCAATTTCTTTCTTGCCAGCAGTCTGTTGGATAAGGCCCCTGTCCTTAGCATAGGAAGCCTTTTCCGCCCCATGATCTGGCCTCAGTCTCTCTTCTTCACTCCTGATGCAACCTCCTTACAGCCCCAGGCATGAATTTTGTTCTCTGGCCTTTGGTTGACTATGTGGGGTCTGGAATGACCTCATCACTCCCACCTACCCTACCTCTCTGCCTTCCTACCCAGGACTCCAGCAGGCTCAGAAGAATGCTACCCCTGAGAGGCCTTTAAAACATTCTCACTCTTCCATGCTCCCACCCAAGACTGATACAGCTGCCCTTCATTCTCTACTTTCAGGATTCCCTGAGTACATCATTGCCATGCACAGATCCCAGCTGATCACCTGTGAGCATGTCTAAGTTGCCCAGGAGCCTCTAAGCTGGAGCTGCGTCTACCCTGTTCCCAACTGGTATAGGAATGCATGATGGGCCAACAGCTTCATGCATGAAAATTCAGTCAAGTGTGCAAGAAGGATCACAGTATGGCCTGCACATTGCTCACCTGGGCCCTTGCCCAGGCATGGGCCTGCAACCACCTGAAGAAGGAAAACTTGTCTTCTGATCCCTGGGGCCTATGGACCAGTACATATTTTCTTGCCACTGTACCCCTGTGCTAGAAACAGCTCCCAGCTCCCAAGGTAGGCACCCCGCCACTGTTCTTGTATTAGAAAAAAGGAATGTCTCAGCACACCTGCCAGCAGGTGCCCCCATGTCTCTCCCAGGCAAGCTGTTATTTGCAGCAGGACAAACCCTTGCACTTACCCACTGTGCTGAACACTGTGCAGCAGAAAAAGAGAGCACTCAGGAAGGACCAGTCCTCAGGCGCCTTGAACCACTGGGGCTTCATCTGCTGCAGGTGCTCACACAGGTCCTTCCTGTTGCCTTCCACCACTGGGGAGAGACCAGAGTGATAACTGGGCTCTGCCTGTCCAGACAGTCCTGCCCAGGGGGAGGACCAGGGCCAGCAGCACCCCAGCCCCACTGTCCCAGCAACACTGCAGCCTGGCCATCAAACCCTCCTTGGAAATGCTTCCACAGCTTAGATCCAGCTGCTGGTGCCTACAGCGTCTAAGAGGTTGGATAGTCCCATGGCCTGGGTGTGACCTGAGCTCAGCAGCCTTGGAGGATTCCTTACTTTTCCCACAGTCCCAAACTGACTTTTTTTTTTCCTTTGAGAGAGGGACCAGGCTGAACTCCAATGCTATAATAACCAAAGATAACCTTGAATTTCTGATCATCCTAACTCCAACTCCCAGGTGTTGGGATTACAGGTGTGGACCATCATGGCTGGTTTATGTGGTGTTGGGGATTGAAGCCAGGGCTTTATGCATACTAGCCAAATACAGCCTTAGCCCTTTGAAAGATTTCTTAATGTTTGAACTATTTCTTTCGTATTTCGTTTTGTTTGTTTTGTTTTATTGTTTGGATCTTTGGAGTTTTGATACTGTTGTTATTTTTTGAGACAGGGTCTTGCTATGTATCCTTGGTTGGCCTAGATTATACCAATTTTCCCATCTTTGCCTGCTGGGTGCTCAGATTATAGTCATGCACCACCATGCCCAGTCTTCTTTATTCATTTTAAAGAGGAATAAAAGCCTCTGCCGTCTCTCTTGTGGAATTCTAAACTCAAAGCAAAAGGCTTTCAGCAAGCCAGACTGTGGTGAGAAGCAAGGCACCGAGCCTACAGGCTTGGTGAACACCCTGAGCTCCAGGCTTCAGGCTGAGGCTGTCTCTTGGGATGGGAAGCCTTGGTCCCTAAGCTAAGAGGATGGCACAGTCTGGCCACAGGGCAAGTCACCACCCATTTTAATTGAATGGCAGTAGCCTGGGAATCCAGACTCCAGCATCTAGACTCTTCCTGACTACTTCTTATAGCACTAAACAAAAGGCTACTTTCTGAGCCTCAGTTTCCCCATCAGCAAAGCAGTGCAGCCTGGTGGTAAGAAGCTCAGATTCATCATAGCCCTGAATGGAATTTCTATCTTGCTTTCCTTGTATGTGAACTTTGAAAGTTATGTAACTTTCCAGGGCAAGAGAAGATAGGAGCTTAAAGATATTGTCAACAAAACAATAGAAAATAAAAGATAAATGAAAAAACAGGCCCTAACAACCAGGGAGAAGAAGGGGGCTTGGGAGCCTGCCCCCTCTGCACGCTGCTGCTCCCCAGGTGGGGACACAGTTTGGGAGCAGGTCTTGTCAGCTGTGACTGACTGGAAGGTGGCCCGGGAAGTCAGAGTCCTGCTCTGTGGAAGGTGTCTCTTCTTGCATCTTTGTCATAGAGACATTTCTACTTAGTGGCCAGAGAGATGCTGAGGTATACTTGGGGCTGTCATAAGACCCCCATCTCCAGCAAGTTCAGAGCCTCCTGAACCAGCCCACACCTCAGATTCACCCAGGGAATCTGTCTAAAGTACACATCTCCAAGCTTTCTCTCAGATCCACACAGTCAGGATCTCCAAGGCTGGACTGGAAATCTAATTTGTAAAGGGGATCCTGGATGCAGAACAGAGTGTGCAGACATTGAGAACTGGGGAGTCACGGGCTGATAAGGGTTAGTTTAACCCGAGGATGCACTTTCTTACTTAGTCCTCCCCAGGGCCCCTGACCTTGTTTCCATTTTTATAAATTAGAAACTGAGGCCCTGGCATCTAGACTCACCCTGACCAAACCAAAGGATGAAACACAAACAAAAGGCCGTAGGACACCTGTGGAGCATCTTCTGCCTCGCGCCTCTCATCTCTGCCTTCCAAGGGGTCCTCACTATTGGCAGGTTTCAGATGGTGGGTCCCCTTCTCTTCAGGAGACTAACAAGGGCCCTGCTGCAGCTGTATATCACATAAACTGAGCTAAAACAACAACCTGGCCTCTGTCTGCCCCAACCCCTGACCCCACCCCTCAACCAGCCCACTACAAACAGACTTTGAAATAGGAATCCAAAAAACTGAAGTCACACCACTTATCCCGCCCATCCCACAAAATCTCCAGTGGCCTACCCTCCCCTAAGCCCTGAGGGGCTGGGTGGGGCTGGTGGGAGCCTGAGGAACCGGGAAGGAAAAGCTGGACCTTCAGAACGCCTGCTTAGAGCTTACTTTTCTCATTACACTCCTGGGACGGTGCCTGTTCATCTCCCCACTGCCCAGAGAAGAAAAGTGACCCCGCCCCCCGACAAGCCCACTACAGATAGACTTTGAAATAGAAACCAGGGTGGGGGGGAGGTTACAGGCGAGCTGCTCTCGACCCCCTGCCAGGGCAGCTGCAAGACAGTAACCTCTCAGGCACCTACCTGTTCTATTACATTTCAGGATGCTACACAGCTTGTCCAGGAACTTCTTCAACTCAGGATTCTCCCCTGCCTCTGGATCAGGGCGGCCCTCTACTGCGGAGAACAGAGCAGCACCCACCAGTGCATAGGTTACCAGGCAGCAGAGGAAACAGAAGCCAGGCAGGAGCTTGCCCAGGGCCTCAGGGCAGCATCTCCTGGCTTTCCCCAAGACCTCGGGGCAGCATGCCCTGGCCTCAGGTGGCTCCTCAGCCTCCATCCTCTTGGAACAGCTCAGGGAAGGACAGGAGGTCTGTGTGGAAGAGGCGGAGGCATCCAGCCTGGGCCTGGAGGAAAAAGGTGGGAGTGGCCGGAGAATGGCCAGGCTCCAGCCCTAAGTGGATAGTGCGTGAGTTTCCCAGAGGACCCAGGAAGCAGCCGGAACCCATCATGTTCAGCTCATCCAAATAACTGGGATGGCGCCCCTGCTAGCGCCCCAAATTGCTATTGATCCACCTGACCAGCGCCAGAGCTGCTGGTGGGGGCTTTGGAGGACCTCGTGGTGATTGTTTTGTGTTTTGTTCTTCCTTTCCCGTTCTGGAACTGCAGCTTTGGCTTCCAGGTACCAAATCTGATATCCAGTTCTTAGTCAAATGCCTGTCCTTTCTGAGCGCTGTCCGGACACCTCTTGCCCTGGCATACCCGGAATATTGGACAACAGAAGAAAGAATGGATACAGACATAGCCCCACTGTTTCCAAAGTGCTGAAACCCGTAGGCTCTCTCGCTAGCCTGGAATTTGCCAAACAGGCCAGGCTGGCTGGTCTGGAAACCCCAGAGATTTACCTGTCTCTGCCTCCCCAGTACTGGGATTCTAAGCAGGCACCAGCACGCCTGGCCTTTTTTTTTTTTTAATGATAAATCTGGGGATTGAGTTCAGATCCTCATGTTTGCCAGGCTAGCACTTTACCGACTGAGTCACCTACCTAGGCTCAACTTCCTGTTTATTGAGGCTTTTCCTCCTCTAGAGGGGTTTTGTTGACAAAAGTGCCAGTAAAACAAAACTAAGTTCCTGGGCTGCTGAGACCAGAGCAGTGCCTCGGTCGGGGCAGATACAGCGTGGACAGAATGTGGAGAAAGACCGCAACACTACCACAGCCCAAAATGAATCTTTCTGCCCCAGGGTTAGGGGGGTTATTGGTTGAATATAATCGTCCTCTCAAATTCTCTGTTAGGGAATTCTGTCTTTGAAGCACAGCAGGGCCATTGCTGGCTGGAAGTCAGAACATCTGTGATTATCCGAATGAGACCTCTACAAGGTCCCTCCCATTTCTGAGAATATGTCAGCTGCTGGGGACCGGGACTCTTCTTGGGTGATGTAACTGCCCGTGAGCCGCCCATGCACCTGTAAGTAACAAGAGACTCATATTCACCAAACTGGACTTGGGTAGAATTGTTTCTATAATGAGTCACCACCCTGTCTGTCTGGGGTAACTAGAAAGAGACTCCCTCGTGGCTCAGCACATAAGGGTACTTACCACCAAGCTTGATAACCCGAGTTTAATCCCCTAAACCATCACAGTGAAATGAGAGAACTGATTTCTACAGGTTGCCCTCTGACTTCCACGTGTGTGCTGTGGTAGGTGCATAAACACACACACACACACACACACACACACACACACACACACACACACACACCACATAATAACGAATGCATCTAAACATTTTTAAAGAAACAGAACCCGGGGCTGGAGAGAGATGACAGCTCTGCCGTCAAGCACATGGTAGTCCAAAGCTGTCTGACTTCGAGGCATCCAGTGAGTCTTCCGGCCTCCCCAGGAACTGTATGTACACGGTGTACAGACTCACGTGCAGGAAAAACACCCACATACACAAAATAATTTTTAAAAATGTAAAAAGGATGCATTCTTCAGAGCTTATTAAGTCTCAGTAAAGTGATTAAGCACCTTCATGTACATCTGGGAAGAACCTCTTCCGTCCGCCACACACGGATGCTGTTGTGAGAGGATACTGTCAGTGGGCTAGGCCCTCACCAGACACTGACCCCTTCACCTTAGACCTCTAGCTCCAGAATTGTGAGAAATTAATTTCTGTTCTTCATAAAGCACCCCGTGTGTGGCTTTTGATATAGTAACATGAATGGACCAAGACAGGAAAATAGTACAGTCCTACTGAAGACCCTGGCTGCCACAGTCTTCTCCAATCTCGCCTCCCATCCCCTCCCTTCCCCTCTCCTTCTCCTCCTTCCCCCCCTCCTCATATACACATTCAGGGGCCAAGCTGCTCAAGAACAAATAACCCACCAATTCTTTTAAAAATAATGAGAAACCAATTACACGCCTACATTAAACATGGCATTGATTCCTAAAGATCAAATTGCTGTGTTACAATCAAGTTGTACAGCCAACTTTATATTTGTATCCTACAGGTTTAGTCACTGCAGGGGAGAGTGTGGGAATTGAAGGAAGAAAAGTCTTAATATAAAAGACTTGGTAGGACGAGGGTGGAAGTGAAAACCAGACCTCCAAGGCTTGCTTATTTGACCCTACCTGCCCACGTGTGCAGCCTCCAGAGGACCACTTCTTGCTTAAATTTCTGCTTGTGGCCCTTTGACTCTGCCCCGGGGAGGTCATGTGGCCTGCCACAGGATTAACAAGATAAGGACAGTTCTTCCATAAAAGACACACATGCAAGGCTGGAGATGTAACTCAGCTGGCTGAGAGCTTGCCTAGCACTAATCAAGCTCTGGGTCCTGTTCCCAACCTTGCAGAAATCTGGTGCCTGGTACATGCTCATATCCCAGCACTTGTGAGGTGGAGGAAAGAATAGGTGTTCAAGATCACTCCTAGTTACCTAGTGAGTTTGAGGCCAACCTAGACTACAAGTGACCCTGTCTCAGTTAACAAGTAAATAAGTAAATTTTAAAGGACAGACGTGCCACCTTCCAGAAAGGACGATCAAGGCAGTCACTGACAGTCTTTGCACACGAATACCAGTTCTTCATCTAGACCAGTACACTGGATGGGAAAAGCAGACCGAAAATGCACACACCAGTGTGGTACTTAGATAACAATGCAGGACACGGCTGAGGTTTGAATATGAGATGTTTCCCACAGGCTTATATGTAGCTAGAGTTTTCCAGCCTTGCCCACAGTCAGGACAAATCTCTGTC